CACGCGGGTGCCGTCTCTGTCTGGGCTTCCCTCTGACGGTGCTTTTCTCCTGCAGGTGTTGACCTAGAAGAGACCGGAAAAGAGGGCGGCCACAGCAGAGAGGTGATGAGGCTTAATAAAGAAGGTAAGGGGCCGGGGCCGGGCCAGCTCCTTTCTCTCCCTCCTTTTCTTGGGGGGTGCGAAGCGTTCCCTCACGGGCCAGGCCACTGCCTGAAAGCCACACGGGGTGCTGTGTAGACGGAACCCTTAAAAGGGCCGGGAGGCCTGCGTTGGCTCGGTTCTCTGTACGGCGGGGTCTCTCGACCCGTGAGCATGAAACGTGTCAGAGGTTGTCAGTGAAGCCGCTTTCTGTTTGGCATCTTGTTGTTAATTGTGGATGAGGCTGTGTCGTTATGTGGAAATAAATAATTGTTTACCTAATTCCAAATCGGTTAGCTCCTTTGCTCCAGTGACAGCTCCACCATCACAACAGCCTGTTCTTCAAGTTTGTTTTAGTCTTTCTGAAGAGAATGTGGTCATCACCAGATGTTGGATCAAACTGCATTTTTTAGCTTTAGTTTTTCTAGTGGTGAACATCTGGTTGCAGGAAGGTACATAGTGATTATATAGGGTTAAATCTTGTAAACTGACTCATCCTTGAGTCCCTTGGATGTTCTCACAGAACCGTGCGTTGCTTGCAATTTAAAGAACTATCCATGTGTTGCCCATTTTGGGGTGAACGTATGCAGATTAGACATGACTAATGCTAGCAAATAAGCTATACTCCTGATAAAAGAAGGAACTTAGATTGTAGTCAGGACGTATTGACAGATTTGCTTTGTAATACGTTGTGTAGACTGCCCATGGATTAATATCAGTAACTCTGGGTAGGTTTATGATCTCATAAAACAAAGGCTTAACATTTAGAACGAATGGACATAAAAAGTTATCTGTTATTATAGAACGCCTACAGTGTGTAGAAAGCTGGACAGGACAAGTTACAGTGAAGGTGATCTTGTAAACCATCATGCTGAGGTAGTATCTCATCAACGAGGTCTCAGTCGTTTGGGTGAGAATAGCTCACCACCCTCGATCTCTTTTGGAGCTCTCCTTTTTGTGATTGTGGACTAATGGCTGCTATGGTTTGCTCAGGACCATCATAAGTATATTTACTCAAAATTAATTCTCACAGGATTCAGTGTCAGTTGGCTTGTATTCTAGCATGGCATTTACCTGGGTTGTAGTGGGATTTCTGAGTAAGCGTAGCTATGCTATATGCAAAAATGCCCAGGAAATTTTATTCCATGTTTATGAGTGAGCTGACTTGATCTTCCATGTCCTAAGCTAACTTATGCATTGGAAGCAATCCTGACAGGCTCCTGGATTTCTTGCCTCTCTGAAGTTCAGTGTCTCAAGTTGTCTGAGTTTTTGTTGTTTTAGAGACCACAGCTTCTCCAAGTTGCTTGGCAGACAAATTACTGCCCTGGCTTATCACCAGGGTCTGTATGTAGAATTGTCACTTTGCATGCAGAAAATTCTGTCTTCTCACTCTGGCTAAGACTGGAAAAAAAGGTTGTGTTACTGCCAGCCTGTGCTGGTGTATTGGGCTAGATGGAACAGTGCTCTAACACCATATAAGACAGTTTCTTAACTATGTTTAAATTAAGCCTGCAATTTACCCTTGAAGCAGTTGGGTGTGATGATCTTTTGTAGTTACCTCTGTAAACATTTTTTTCTGCTTAATATATCTAGGAGGTTTACAAGCCATCCCAGAATACACTGAATGTTGTTGCAGCTGGTTTACAGGCCATCTAGCCACTTGGAGTGATTATTACCTCTCTAAAGAATATTGATAAAATGTAAACATTTTTGAGGATGTTTGGCTTGTATGTTTGCTACTTATGATAATTTGGACTCTTACTGCAATAAAGTATTCTGTTCTGAAAAGTTTGGGACATTTTGCATTGTCTAGTAGGGCTGGATAAAGCTTTGAAGGGAAGATTCCAAAAGTGCATTGGCATTTTGCAAAATGACCCCAAGAAGGGTTGGCATGACTAATTGGAGGATTTTTACAAGTTGCTGGTATGTTCACATGCAGACAATACTTTTGCTGTAGTTGCTAGCAAAGAGGTGCGAATGTGTGCAAAAATGATGTGGGGAAACCCTCAGAGCAACTGCAGGGAGCTTTGTGGAAGACTGGGCGTCTCAACACATCAGGAAGGGTGCTTTGCTAGTGCCAATGTGCTCAACAAAGTGCTCCCTTGCAAAATTTGCATAGCCATACTGCTGAGTAGCCCTTTAAGTAATGTATTTAATTATGAATTTTAGTGCAGTTAAAAAAACCCTAACCCTCAGATTAAGTAAGAGGCTGAATGTGGCATTGATTAGAAATATGCTGTCCATTGTTAACTGCATGCGTGATTTTTCCGCCCTGGAGTCAGGAGGAGTGGGGTACTTTATGGCCCCAAAATGGGAGGGAGAGCAAGTTACAGTATGTTACACTTCTTACTGTACAACAATCAGACCAGTTGTTATCATGAAATACATTGGATTTCTAGAATTTATTGGTATACTTTCAAAACAGATACTTGGTCTTAGTATGCAGTATGTATTTAGAGGCTATAGAAGGACTGTCAAAATGTTCCAATGCCAGCATATCTCAGTAATTTGAATTAGGAATTAATTCTCTACCTCTATAGATTGAAAATATGTGACATTGTTTTAACAACACATTGAGCGATAAACTAGTCAACCACATTTACTTTAATGTGCTTTGCAAACCCACGTGGTTAGTTTAGGATTTAGTGTGTTGTGTAAACCCTGAAAATTGGGTTTGTTGAGTAGATCATGGTTAAATTAATCATAGGTAAGTGTGTCATGTTAGTATAATGTTGACATTTAACAGTTGTGGGTGAAAAATGGTATACATGGTTCCCAATTATTTTAGCTGAATTTACTTCCAGGTTAAGTTTAACACTGTGGCCTTGAGTATCTTCATGGCATCGCGCACTATGAACCAGTTATTTTTGAGGTTTTCATCACTGTGCATAAAAAAGGAATTAATACTGGGATGTTATTGGGTTAATAGATTATGGAGTAATACCAGCTCCTTGATTATGATATAGAAAGCTCTTCAATCTCTCAGGGCAGAGGACTGTTTTGGTTTCTTGGTGGGGGCAGGGGCTGATCATTATTTGTAGAATTGGTGCCTGTTGTTTCTAAAAGTGCCTCCATGGTGTGATTCTAGTGATCATTAAAGGCATAGGGACCTTCTTTCTTACAGCAAGGAGTTTCTGATCATTTTCTACCGTGGTGGCTGTCCTTAAAATTATTCTGCTTGTATGGATAGGTTGGTTTTGATACTTTTCTTGGTCCTAGCATTTTTCCTGTATGTGCAGGGTCTGCTTTTTTTTCCGGATCAGCTGAATGTTTGATACTAGTTTACTTGCAGAAAGAAAACTTTTTGGCTTTAGAATACAGTGTAAACAATGACATCTGAATTATGGTGTGCTATGTTAGCTTTTCTCTCTTAGCGCCCAGTGGGTGACTTCATTGTCCTCAGCTTGAGAAAGACTGTGCTATGGTATAAAAAGACTATGATGGAAGTTTAGGTACCTTTTCTGAAATTTGAATTGGAAAATATATCTTTGCCATCCATATTATAACCTGTAACTGGTGGTTTTTCATGTGTCGTAGCAATTAGTAGCTTTAAAAAAGTCTTCTGTTCAATTAGGTAACTACAGTCTGAAGAGCCTAGCTAAGGAATCTGAAAAGCTGTGGGTCAGAGAAAAGAGCTTGTGGACAAAGCAAAACAAAACCAAAAAAACCCCACACTGTATTTTGTCACTGGATCATAAATATTTATCCCTGTGAGAGAGCAGTGTGCTGTCATATTCTTACATCAGTTTGTCAGAGCTGTTGATGCATTCTCTTCTGAGTGTTTAACATTCATGTAACGTGCCCAGAGAATACGTTCTTCAATGGCTTGTACGAAGAGGCAGTAATATCATGAGTATTTAT